AGTTCAAGCTGGCCTTGAACTCATTTTGTAGCCCAGGATGGTCTCGAACTCACAGCAATCCTCCTGCCTTAGCCTCCCAAGTGCTGGGATTACAGCTCTGTATAAATATTTTAATACTGAATTTATTGAGACATCATGAAAATCCTAACATTTATGTAGACAAAGCAGTCAATTTATCGGGAGTCAATGTCTGCTGTATATTTTTATGCAACTTATTTTCCTAAAGTCTACATACACTTTTTGGTGGACTCTATACACACACACATATATACAAACACAATTATATATACACACACACACATATATGACCTGAGTGTGGTAGTGCATACTTGTAATCCTAGCTACTCAATAACACAGGAGGCTGAGTTCAAAACCAACCGAGGTAAAACAGACCCTCTCTCAAAACAACAGCAGGATATGCTGGTACATGCCTGTAATCCCAGCATCCAGGAGGCTAAGGCAGGAGGATCGCCCTGAGTTCAAACTAGCATGGGCCGTAAAATGAGTTCAAGGCCTGTCTGAACTACATATCAATACCCTGTCTCAAAAAAACCAAAAAGTGAGCCAGGCATGGTAGCACACACCTGTAATCCCAGCCCTCAGGAGGCTAAGGCAGGATGGCTTCGAGTTTGAGGCCAGCCTATAATGCACAACACCCTATCTCAAAAAAAAAAGTGTGTGTGCAAATATTATGCACCAATCAAAATTTTTTAATATAAAAATATGTAAATTTAAACTACAGCTACCCTTTTGACAAATAAATATGATTCTGAAAAATCATTCTGTATGACACTAAAATATTTACAAATTAATGGGAAGGGGTATTGAGACAAGGTCTTGCCATCTACCCTAGGCTGGTCTCAAACTTGAGGTGATCTTCCTGCCTTGGCCTCCCGAGGGATTGGGATTACAGGCACGCACCACCATGCCTGGCACAAACAAAATATTATGTCTGGGCCTGGGGATACAGTTCAGCAGTGGAATACTGCACTTGCCTATCATGTATGAGACCCTGGGTTCAATTCCCAACACCACAAAAAATAAATTATGTCTGGGTTTACTATAAAATATTCCAGGAGGGGGGCTGGGGATTTAGCTCAGCAGCACAGTGCCTGCCTGGCAAGCATGAAGTCATGAGTTCAATTCCCGGTACCAGAAAAAAAAATAAAATAAAATAAAATATTCCAGGAGGGCCAGGGATATAGCTCAGCAGCACAGTGCCTGCCTGGCAATTGTGAGGTCCTGAGTTCGATTCCTCGAGCCAAAAATAAATAAATAAAAAATAAAATAATCCAGGAGCACAAAGTATGACTGAGCTAAAACAAAACTGGTCATGATAACCACTGAGGTACATCACAGAGCATTACACTGTTGTCTCTACTTTTGTACTATTAAAAATTTTCCCTTTTTAAAATACATATATAGCCAGGTGTGGTGGTGCACACCTGTAATTCCAGCACTCAGGAGGCTGAGGCAGGAGGATTATTGCAAGTTCAAGACCAGCCTGGGCTACATATCAAGACCCTGTCTCAAAAAGACAAAAAAATAAAATAAAATAAAATACATATATGTATATATAATACATATAATACCAGTGTTTATATATTGTAAACAAATAATATTAAATAAAAAGGCTGATTTCAAAATAAAAACCAGACACACCAGCAAGGTAATTAAGGACATTATAAGCTTTGCCCCCCTAAAAAAAGCTATCCCTCAAAAATGGCTTAAAAAGACAAGCTTTCTCAATGTAAAGGAAAAAACTGCTTAATTCTCCAATCTATTATTATCTGCTAAAACAGGAGCAATATTTTTGCTAATGAAACCTGGTGGACCAGGTTTCTAATATCCAATAATCTTTGGAAAGAAGGGTGTTTCCCACACCCACCAAAGATCCCCCTTGGTTCCTGCTATAAAGAGCAAATATTTTTAGAATATTTGCTATTAGAATTATTTATTCATATACAGTATGCTTTGCAGACATCCAAAAATTAAGAAAGTTAGATCCTAGACTAGTAAAGATTAAATAAAACTGGAATAGATTTATAGGTTGAATCTTCCAAATAGCTACTAAATTCACAGATGATAAAGAAGCTATAGAGGTGGCTAGGCAAGGTGGCTAGGCAAGGTGGCACATGCCTATAATCCTAGCAATGAGGAGGCTGAGGCAGGAGAATCACTGTGAGTTTGAGGCCAGCCTGGGCTACAAAGTCAGCTCAAGCCCAGCCTGGAATACACAGCCAGAGCCTGTCCTAAAAAAGTAAAGAAGATTTAGAGAAAAGGAGAGGTGGGAGAATAGATAAGGCTGCTCTGTGTAAATTTTACATTAACTAGAGAAAAAGCCACATATATAGGGAAAAGAGAACATCAAAGTCATGGGCTTTCCATTGGTATCCTTAGTAACCATCATTAGCTGAAAAAAACGTAAAAGAAGGAATAAAATTTACTTACTTTGTCAACACCCATCCTTTTAAAACCTGCTTGTAGTATTTTGAAGTTCTGGATATATTCATGTTCTAGCTTAGCTTGGAATTTCACTTTCTTCAAGGCAATGGAGCCAGGGAAGAGCATGTCCATAAATTGACAATAGGCAGCCCCTGAATGAACAATAACCACACAAAAACACAGCAAACACTAGGTTACTGGATGCAATTGTTAAAAAAGCATGGTCAATTTTTTCTCAGATCCACAAAAAATTTTCTCAGATCCACTTAACCCAAATATAATTTAAAACCTATAAGCAGAGTATCGTGGTACACACCTATAATTTCACCAAAGCCCTAGGTTGGACCTGTAGCACTGCCAAAAAGAAAACAAACTAATCTTTATAAACCAAGTTGAAAACATTTTGTGTTCCTCCATTAATAAAATATAAGCTGGGCATGGTGGTGCACAACTGTAATCCCAGCACTCAGGAGGCTGAGGCAGGAGGATCACTGCAAGTTTGAGGCCAGCCTCTGCTACATAGTGAGTTTAACGCCAGCCTGAGTTGTTCAAGGCCAGCCTCGAGAATAAAAGGTATAAATTACATTTTTTTTTTTTTTGAGACAGGGTCTTCCCATGTAGTTTAGGCTGGCCTTGACATTCTTGTCATTTATTATTTTAGAAAGCAGATGTAAAGAGAACAAAGGCACCTTAATGAGCATGGTAACATTCTTTGTAGCACTTTCAGAAAGTGAAATCTCAGCTGGGCATAGTGGCACACTCCTGTAATCACACCACTTGGGAGGGTGAGACAGGGGATAGCAAGTTCAAGGCCAGTCTGAACCCACAGTGAAGCCCTACCTCAAAAAAATTTAAGGCTGGGCATGGTGGCACACACCTGTAATCCCAGTACTTGGGAGGCTGAGGCAGGAGGATCATTCCACGTTCAAAACCAGCCTGGTCTACAAAGTAAGCTCAAGGCCAGCCTGAACTGCATGGAGAGACCCTGTCTCAAAAAGACAAAAAAAAAAAAAAAATTTAGTGCCAGGGATATACCTCAGTGGCACAGGGCCTGCCTGGCAAGTGTGAGGTCCTGACTTCAATTCCCAGTCCCACCCTCCCCCTGCAAATTTTTTTTTTAAAAAGGAAAAAAAAAAAAGCAAGAAAGTAATAGCTTGATTTTTCAGGTGGCTTATATGCTCACTAAACAAAAATATACTGAGGGCACTCTTTAATGTACCAAGCATTCCATTACCAATACTTACATTTAAAAAATAGGGACACACTAATAGCTCCTATATTCTAAAAGCCAATGACCCAATTTCTTCAATAAACAGTATGAAGGAGTGAACTGTTACATTTTAAAACAAATTTTAAAAAATGTAAGTTAACAACTGCAATGAAGAGACCTGTATGGATCCTAATACATACAAATCTAAGAAAAAACCACCAAGTAGATAATCTACTAAGGATCTATATTGAGTACTTGTTATTGCTTATGTCTAGATGTCCCCCCATCACCCCCAAGGACTTACATGGTCATAGGTGGGGCTTTTTCAGAGGAGGCTGGATCTA